ATCGTTTCAAATCAGTGAACAGCTTTCTACAAAGGTCCATTGGGTGGCGCCTGGCGTTCGACTTCAGCCAAACTTATCGGAGATCATTTCTTTTGCGCTGTTCAATTTCATTCGGCAAATTTTACGGAAGATGAATATCAGACTTTATTTGAAGTCTGGCATTCACTTATCTCACCATCCTCATACCTTGAGAACGTCGTAAGCAAATGTCCATATAACAAAAAGTTTATTTCATAAGGCCAATATCTTGAAATGCTGTAAATGAGTTCTTTAGTTAAAGAAATTTTCTAGTCAGCCTATTTCTGGAGCGCTTAATTTCTTTAAATAAAACAGGCCGAGACAATATCACTTTTTGTATATTATCTATGTGATTATATTCAACTTTTCTAGTCATTATAAAACACGTTTCCAGTCTCGAAGTTAGAAAAAATTGGTGTACGGAAACCGAACATCGAACAGTAAACTTGTCAGTTCATCTGTTCTTGGTGATTCAGCAGATTGCTAATCATGTTGTCGACCTGATTTTTCACAAAGCACTCATGCAATATAGTATGTTGCAATATAAGATGATCAGTTCAATATCTGACTTGAGCGGGAGCTATCTACTTCCGTACCGCTCGGTGCAAGCACAGCCAAAGCACGGCGGCTGGCAACCAGCGCACGCTGCAGGCGGAGCTTGTCCTGCTCTTTACTTTTTTTTTTTCTTCTTGAAATTAGTGTCCACGGGTACGGCCGTGGAGAATGGTACTTTTCCCTGTGCATCAGCGCAGTTGTCTCACCGCCGAACCTGGCCGAAATTAATGATGGACGGAATTAGACGCATATAGTGTTAGTAAAAAAAAATCGCAATTTAAGCTTGAGACCACTTCGTGGTTTGCCAAGTGGCTCAATACTATTGTTTCATTCGCTGTGTGCTACTAGAAAGAAATTCATATCGCAAAATTAATCGAAAGTGGCATGAACCAGCATCACAATCGCGTGTACGTTGAAACCAAAACCGACCAAAATGAAGCAACCTAATGGCGCCGAGTGCGCCAGCGCCCTCTACCCGCCGGTCAGGCAACTACTGGAATGAAAAGGTCTATATGCTAATTATCCACATAAAGGGGCAATTTAGTAATGCTGCGCGAGGACGGGACTTTAGTTTACTACGGTTCTTGAGGTGAAAACGAGAATAGTAATTTTGTCTCTAAAGAGAAATCCGGGACAACAAAGCTGCCATTAATTGTTCCCCAACGAAAAAAGACATTTTTTTTTTCAACAGTCAAGGAAATATTGAAGAAATAAACATGTTAACATTACACAATAGTAAGCTTAAAATGAGCAATTTTCGCCGTGATTGGCTTAAGACTAGAATATATATATATATATTCCGGTCAGCAGCATCGAAGCCTGGGTTCGAGACCTAGCACAGATTCTGTACTCGTCCACGACAAATGCAAAAAAAAACAAAAAAAAACAATAATAATATTAATGTCGAAACAAGAAACAGAAAAAGAAGTAATGACCGAGTCAGTGAGGTGAAGCGACTGATGCGGTGAATTTAAAGGGACCATGAAATGATTTTAAAATCGAATTTCATCCACCGCACGTCGTAAAAGGTGTGAAAAGAAACACAAAAACACAAAACTAGGGAGCCAAAAAAAATTATTTGCTATAGAACTTTTAAAAGAAAACTGGACTCTTTTGCGCCTTCCTTCCTTCGCCTGTTCACTACGATGCATCCGCGGAAATGGAGCACGTCAGCCAAATCCAGGTCGCCTATTGGGTAAGAGCCTACCTCACCAGCACCGCGATCGTAAACAATAAATAGCCGGCGAATGTTTCCTAAAAGTTTTGTTAAATAATATTCAGATCCACATTTTGTAGCATAATTAGAGATGTGTGGCGAAAATTGCCAAATTTGATAATGCTCAGAGCCAAGCGCCATCTATCGTGTGGTAAACGAAGCAACCACTGCGCGTGCGCAGTAGGGCAGGGCCGAGTTCAGAACGGTTATGACGGTTATTTCCTTTGGTTTCCTTCCTCTCAGAACTCTGACTGACTGAACGTTTATTTTTCTACGTCTTCATCTCGCGCGTGCCGACTTCAAGCAGCAAGAAAAAAAAGTACTAAAACAGACCACGACGAACAAGAACGCTGGATCCACAAACACCCGAGAAGAGCGACAACAGCCGCGAATCCCGCTCCTACGAAGCTCTCAGGATATAGGCCTAGCAGGCACTCCGACTCGGCGCAGCGTTGCTTCGTCGCAAGACCGTCTGTCTGCCTACGACCGGCTGGCGTGCTGAATGGAATATGCCCGCGCTACCCTTGTGGACCCTTCCCGTATTGTAGTTTGATCGCTGACCTCAATTTTAGGTTAAGAGGTGAGGTCAATCTCTTCCCCTTGTTTTCCGAGGCAGGGTTGACGAACACTCGTCGAAAAGGGACCCTCGTCAATTCTCTCTTCTTGTTTTGTGTGATATAGAGCTGAAATAAACGCTGTATGGATTACCTTCGTAACACGGTATGTACACTTTGTTATTGGTATGCCATTTTTATTCTGACAGACTGCACGTCACTGTCGAGCTGTAACAGTTCGTGGGAGGTATACGCGCAATACCGGTCCAACCTTTCTTTGCCGAGTGTAGCGTCAGTATCGAGTTGCAATCGTAGAAGATCGGTCCCGAAGCGCTTACCAACAGCGCGAATACAGCACTTCCATCAAACGCGCGCGTCCGCTCCGAGTGTGAACAGGTATTTACGTGGCTCTTGCTGACACTCGTAGTTCAAACGTATCTTTTTTAACGTCGGCTCGCTCCTGCATCTCCGAGACCGCGAAAAACGCCGCGGCAATTTGTTTCCATCTACGTCGCTTTGCAAACGACTGACACTGGCCGCCTTTTACCAACAATGACAGTTGGGTTAACTTCTGGAGTCTTCACCGGAAGACTCGCTGCACTTCCCAACAGGCATAACGGCGTATGGGACTAGTCCCATGCTGTCGCTGTAGCGCAACGTATCTCATTGAATTTCGCTCAGCTGCGATGCGGCGATGAGAGGCGCCGATTCAGAAAATACGTCGGTGACATCGGCGCAGTAAAACCTACCGGCACACCCCAACTCGTCGCCGCTAACGCTCCCATCTCCAACTGCCGAGAGAACTTCCGGTTCCGGAAGCAGCGTACGTCACGGCTTGTTTTGCGGTCAAGAAAAAGTCGATATTTCATTAATTTTTTGTGTAGAAGTTAATAAACCGAGACGAAAACGGATGCCTGTTCGGCATTCAGTGAACATTGACGGTTTAATGTAAAAGTTATCTGGGAAAAGTAAAAAGGTCATTTCATGGTCCCTTTAAAGGCTTTTTCCGGCTTCGGGACATTGCTGTAAACTAACGATGACCTTGTCGACGCTCACTGGCGCTCTGTGGATGGGCATGGTGGCACACCCGAGTGAGGCACAGCGCTCCTCAGCCGTAAGATCTCGGAGGTAAGCCTTTAACCTGTTTTGCGTCGAAAAGGGTGATTGCCTACCCTCCGCTGTCAGTGGAAATCTAGCCAAACACCTCAGGGGCCCTAAGCTGGACGCTTGGCGAAAACGACGGCGAGAAATCTGGCGTCCGTGATTGGCCGACGCCGCCCTTGACCTTGGCGCCGGCCAATCAGAGCCGCCGATTTTCTCGCCGACTTTTCCGCCAAGTGTCCAGATTAGGGCCCCAGGAGCGTGTTTCTGCATCATCACCCATTTTCGACATACTTGGGTAAATTATTTGGAAAGGTAATTTAATTGCAACTGTTACTTTGCTCCAAGATTAGGCCGAAAATCGTTTTTGTTGTTGTGGTTGTTCAAAACATATTATTTCAGAGAAGGACGGGGATGGGGGATAAAAACAATCTTTTTAATTCTTTTTTTCTTCCAAATTTCTTCTGGAAATAAATATTTAGTTGACAGTCAGCGCCTTGCGTGTACACTGTGCGACACTGTTAACGCAAAAACGACATCGACACTTTTTTTTTTATCTACTTTAAAATCTGTGGGCACAGGGTTTAACTGCTTAGATTTGTGCCCCAAACAAGAACATCTTGTAATACTAAAAGTTGTATAAATAAGATCGAGAGAAAACTAAAACGGTGATCGCTTGTTAGCGCTGTGTACTTACATCTCTTCCTTGTGACCTTTGTCTAGTTAAACGCTGTTTCACCTTTTAATAAATAGGTAACAGCTAGTCCAACTAAAAGCCTTTCTACGATTTATCAGCCGGAAAATGCGTTATGTTAAGTTAAGAACGCTTAAGTTTTTTTTTGTTCCGTCTTTAGTAACGAGATATTTTTTCATGTATTTAGTACTGTAATACTTTTCCAGTATAGGTAATTTGCAAGTATTTAGTACTTGGATATTTTTTTCAGAATTTAATATTTAGTACACAACTCAGTTACTTTTCTTCTTGATACTCAGTAGCTATGCACTTGACAACTTCTTTTTTGGTATGTAGCGCAACCCTCGCGTAAGTAGCAGGATCGTGGAAAATCTGAGCCTTCCAGATGTGGTGTGGACCATTGATGAGGACTTTTATCCACTTCCATCGAGAGCTGCGAACCTTTTTTTGGAGTTATCGACAACTTACCTTTATGAGCACGTTTTCCCCACGAAGTGGCCCAGAAATTGCCTAAACGTGTGTTCGCTGCTTTATTCACTGCCCCTTAGAGTATAAGCCCATAAAAAGGAAGGCGAAGCGACCTTTGTGTTGATGTTTTAACTGCACAATTCTGGCCTACCCGCCGGTTCCCTGAAAGGTTTTGGTCCAAACTAGATGATGGAACCCGAAGTGTACGTTCCATTCTTGGAACTATATCAGACATCGAGAGATAACGGAGCACAGGGGGCACAGACAGAAAAATACAGGATTGGGTGCTTCAGCTCGTATCACATAAAACGAGCCTCACCATACCGCCATACGCCACCGACCACGATCGTCACACTCGCTCTTGAAACTGACGAGGAAAAGGCTCGGAAACGAGTGATTTTGAATGATACACTTTTATTTCGTGTCACATTAAACATTTTTTGTTTCGATTTTTTTTTTTTCCTTATTTTACACCGTCGAAATGTAAGTTCCATCCCAAGAGCTCCGAACAAGAGAGAGAGGGAGAGAGAGAGAGAAAGAGTCGGGGAAGGGGACTGAAAAAAAAAAAAAAACAAACAAACCGTCAAAACAAAATAATAAACGAGGAAAAAAAAAAACGTGACGGTTAGTTAACGCGACACATATGAAACAGGAAAAAAAATGCACTGCACGCGAAACTCGAAGAAACGGAGCGACAGGCGAGAAACTAAAAAAAGAGAGCTGCCATCGGGGGCAGCGGCAGCCGCCTCAAGACCCGTGCTGATGTTAGGGGATGTATCTACAAAGCGCCCACTCGGATGCGTGACGCCGTGCGCAGACAAGAGAAAACGAAAGCCGAGCGCATGTAAGATGCGCCGCCCGAGCTCCGCTACAAGTAACAACAAACCCGGACAGGTTCCAAGATCTTACACGACGAGCACGCAAAATGAAGGCACTCTCTATTATAATATATTATATGTGTATATATATATATATATATTTATATATATAGTAGCATCTCTGTGTGTAGTGGCTGTTCATTTCCACCGCGGTACGGTCGTGGTGATTGATGATGATCGATTCCGCGCCGCCTAAACACGAACGAACAAAGAGAAGGGGGAAAAAATGGTCGCGGACGCACTTGCGGCTTTGGCAGCCGCATGTGGGAACGCGCGGGTATTTAAGTCTCCGGCGCGGGAAGGCAGCTTAGAACTAACCGAGGGATGATGAGGGAGAGGAGGACAGAGCGCTCGTTAGGTTTGATGTTAATTTGTCGCTATGGCACCGAGGTTACAATACTACAACTGGAGAAAAGAGAAAAAAAAAACGGAAATGAAACTTGTTAGCTCGCACTGACGCTTATAGTTTGTTCCGATTTCGCCCGATTGCGTCCATGCCCCACTACTACTTCGGTACCATCTAGAGTTACCGAGCCTGATTCATCCTATTCCACAGGGCGCCAACAAAGAACACGTTCAACGTAACTCATGCCGGCGGCACACCGGAGCCCAACTCACTCCCTTAACCAATCAACGGTCTGACCCGCAGCACGCGACTTGGCCCCTTCTGCGTACAGTACACGGCACAACTAGCCCGAACGCGGAATCGGCCCTTGGTCGCGTTTCCTTTACGAACGACAGCGTTCAGCAAACTTTCTACAGGCCATATTTCTGCCGAACGTACGAACAACTAACCACGCTAACAGTTTGAACGCTATACAATTACTCGTGCAAAATATTAACAAAAAAAACAAAAAAAAAAGAACGCCGAATTGGAATTTGAGCCAGTTGAGTCGCGCACTCTTAATGCAAGACTGTGCTTGTCATTGGTGGGTTCACCGGTGCGCAGTTTAAAATCTTCTGAACAAACCACGCGGCAAATTAATTGACGCAGTGTTTTCGGTTGAGCTTCGCGCCTACGCGCTACTGTACAAAAGGACGCCACCGAAGTGACCCGAAAGCCGCTCAAAAAACGAGAAGTTTCATTTCCCCTTGCCCTTTTCTGCTACGTTTTGTTGTTTTGAAAGCAACTTCAAATACTGCCGTTCGTTAATGCCTCAAGCGCTCAACGGGAAAGAAGTAGGGCATCCTTAACCGGAGTGTCTTTTGTTGTTTTTTACGCTCGCCTCGGTTGCCGTGAATAATTACTCTTCGCGCTCGTTTCGGACGCCCTTAACATCAACAAACAAGGGGAACAAAGAGGCGGTGTTGGTACCCACAGAGCACATGCAACTCTTAATGCTCAGTGTCCACCAGTGCTGCGTCAACATTCTCCCCGACCACTCCGCGTTCGCTTTACACCATTTCGCAACCAGCGAATAAGGCAACAAAGGGAGAAGAAAGAGAGTCGAGAGCAACAAACACGTCAGTGAATGAACGCGCGCAATTTGTCGCTCTTTTGCGGCGATTCAAAATGATACGCGGAAACATGCATACATACATTCATACGCACAAGCACACGTACAATTAACCAACCACCTCGCGCAGGTAACTCGACAAAAAAAAAAAATCACTCGAAGCGTTAGGGTCCACGCACACGCTTCCGAACACGTCAAGAATGAAGAACGTCAATGCGATTTGTGCAGTTCTTGTTCGAAACCAGAGGCGCCGGGATTTAAAAGCACGCCCCATCCCGCTTCCCCGCTCCCCCCTTCCCTAGGGCAGCGATGTCAACATCGCGAGGCAATAAAAACGATGAGCGTGATCTCACACATCTACGACGAATTCAAAAGATAGTCATAGGCCGTACCCAAAAAGACAGTCGGCACAGATCACCTCGAACCCACGTCGATTCCGCCGCACAGCCCTCAAGAAAACGACAACGGCTAACGCAACCACCCGACACTCGCATTTGTTTCGTTCTTCAACAACACTTTACGTCACTCGCTCATCGATCTCCACACTTTGTCATTCACCGTGCGAAAAGGCAGCTTGGTTCTTTCAAGCACAAGCATTTTGCTTTTTCTTTCTCTCATCTCAATCAACAAGCTAACAAACGACCAAGCAAAAACAGGTGTTCCGCCCATCAAGCGTCCAGCCAACAATTCTTATCATGTTTTTGTTTTGTTTTTGTTGCTTCCGTGCAAACGGACGCGTCAACAATTTGCTCGCAAACGGTGCGAGCCAGCGAGCGAGGGGACAGAACACGTTGGAAAGAAGAGGAGAAAGGGAGTACGCGAAGGGAGCAACTAAAATGAGAGAGAAAAAAAAAGGACTAGAAAGGGAAGATGATGGAAACGCAAAAGAACGAGAGGTGTTTTTTGTTTACCCGTCAGAGAGTTGTGTGGTATTCTCTAGAAAAATATTCAACCCTCATAATCCTTTTCCGTGTACATCGTCGGTGGACGACAAGTCATCCTTCTGTGCCTTCCAGACCGCGGTCTTCGCTGTTCCCACTGTCATCGGGAGGAGAGAGAGAGAGTCTGTGTGTGTGTAACAGAAACAAAAGTAGTTGCCGTTGTATGTGTAAGTAAAAGGAAACCGAAGATGGCGTAAAGATCGGCGTTCTCTCAATCACGTGTGCGTTCTCAAGTTCCTCGCAACCAACACGTAACAGCTTTCTAATGAACCGATAAAATTAAATTATTCCAACTTTTCAAAACACGCAATTTCGACAAACCGTGGACTGGGTTTCGATACTCGTCCAATTAAAATCGGTGAGCACGTTCTCTTTCTGCAAATCAATGGGTTTTTCGAAGGTCGTTCCCGTCTCCTCGCGAATATCGGCTCAAGTGAAACGCAAACATACGCTAAGCGAAGCAGGTCTCGCTACAGCGAGCACACATTTCCCACAACCTTTGTCACTGCCAGCAAGAAACAAACACCAACCAAACATCCGCGAACAATTTCCGGCGTGCACTCGGGCTTAACGATACTCGTGTGTATACTTGTATCTTAGATATATGAATGTAATGTATACATACATACATATATATATATATAAAAGAAGCGATGAGGATGACAGATAGCTATAGGTGAATGGTGATCCGATATTTTTTTTTTCGTTCTCTCTCTCTCTCTCTCTCTTTAGGGTGTGCTCCTTCACGAGCACTCCCATCTTGCTTATGAATGCGTGTGTGTGCGTGAGTGTGTGTGTGCCAAGATTGCTGCAGCGCGCTTGCACGAGGCTAACAATGAAAGAGGGTGACGCGAGCGAAGTGAGGGACAGGTCACGTAAGCGACAGGTTCGACGGGGTGGATGTCGCCATGGCGTTGCGGCAGCGTCGGGCACGCGACAGTCACGCGCGCACAACGAAATCAAAACATAAATGAAACGGGAGAAAAAAAAAAGAAACTTAAGTGGAACGAAGACAAAGAAAAAAAAGTAGGCACGTATGACACAAATAACAGCACCAACAGTCAAAAAGAGACGCACCGAGAGCAAAGTTGGACGATGGGGTGGAGAAACGGAAGACAATGTACATTCAACGTCACATCAAAAAACCGAACACTGAAGTGTGCTTCATAAATAAGTGAGCATATAACACGAAAAAACATGTTACTTCGTAAAATAACTTTCAAAAAAGAAACAAAAAAAAAAAAAACGACTAAACCATTCACCGAAGACGACAAGAAAAAAAGTGACACAAAGTATTATTAAAAGAAGGAACATGTACAGAAAATGGAGCATGGCAGTAGTTTTCGCAAGTTGCTCGTCGACCCCTTACTTCACGTCGAACACGTTTTATGGTGTTTTCTTCTTTTTTTTTTTTTATCTCCAAAAATAGAAGCAAACTCTTCACCCCAAGTCACTCTCGTCAGCAGACGCGTACCGACGGCACAATTCAACATCCACACGGTCGACCTTCCACACTTTCCCGGTCATTAAAAAAGTGACAATCTAATTAACGGTTCGCAATTAAAATGAACATAAAATTTGCAATAGTGCCTTGTACATTTGCCAGGAAAAAAAAAAAGAGCGGTTGCTTGCCACAACCGTCGAACACGGCCCGTGCAAAGGAAAACAATACACCAGATCTATAACAAACAATTTTACCTCTGCACCATGTTCAAACTTATCGGTAAGAGAAATACAACAGCCACTGGACGTCAACACAGGGTTCTGCTAGACGATGGAACTCGTTTTTAAAAATCATGCGACCGTCCTATATGGGCAAAATATCTTGCAACAATCGCACAAAATAATATTTCCCATTGACTTGAATGCATTCTTTAAAAAAAAATTAATTGTCAAAAATATTTTGGAGATTTTAATGATCGAGGAAAGCACGCAGAGCTTGGACTGATAGCACCCATCGCACCTCGTCGCCGTTGCATCCTCCGCGCATGCCAACGCACTTCAAGACCGCTACAAACTGCAAGTCTGGGAACGAGGGTCCCCCAACCCAGCGTTCCAACTGCGGAACCCGAACACCCTCCACTGTTTCCAAACTTCAGTCAGACTCTCGGCCAACCAGGGTCCACAGCGGTCGCGGTGTACGGCTTCGCATCTTGCTCAACAGTACGGGGAAGGGGTACGGCTGCGTGTGTATTTTCCAGCGGACCCTACCGCGTAACCTCTCAGCAACAGGTCCGCCGCGTGAAGCGTTGAGAGCACAGCGACACCATAGTCACGCGTTGAAATGGAGATCCTCGAGACCGGTTTCTTTGCATCGGTGTTTGTTATTATGTACAGTCAAAGAGTCTATCAACTCTTTGCTAAAAACCGAAAAAAAAAAGACGAGATAGAAGGGTCCCGCATCGCTTTTGTCGTTTCGTTTTTGTTTTGTTTTTTTTCCCTCCCTTTCTGCAGTGGTGTAGATATCACATTATTGCTTTCCGTGCCCTCGACGAAGCGGCATGAGCTGTCCGGTGTCTCTCATAAAAAAAAAGGGAAAAAAGAATATACGGTTATGTACAGAGCGCGCTCGCAACACCTCTCGTCCCCTGCTCGGCAGTCTCTAGAACACTTCCTTGCTCCCGAAGCCGTAACGCTGGACACACCCTCTCCATAGTCGTAGGATCAGTCTTCCTCTCGCGGAGTCGCCATCATCGGAGAAGTTTACAAGGAGCTGCAGCTGTCGCAATTACCTCTGCCTCGATCCCAGCAAAATCCTCCACTCGTCCCAAGCAGTAACTTTGTGGGCGCTGCATCGACTGGATTTCTTCCCTCGATAGAACTCCATCTAACTGTAACTGCCGGTGAGACGAAAGAGACACAGTTCAGGAGTCCACCGCTTCGGCCTTTGTGCAGCATGAAAAGAACCGTACACAAGCTTCGGTTGGGTTTGTACGGACCTCGATCGAATCGCTTTGGGAAAGAAGAGGTCTTGAAAAGAGCGGCTTCGAAGGAGAGCTATTATGACCTCACTGTTTGATAAGTTTGACGTAAAGGACAGGTTTAAAGGAAGGAAGAAAGGCTCGTCGAGACAATCAAAGACGTCCGAAGTGTTGCAGCTCGGGTTTGCTTCCGAATTCAAGTCGTTCGAGATAAACTACTTTCACTCTTTTCGTGGCTGGGCTAAGTGTAAGGAGACGTGCAATCTTCCCTCTCTCCCTCAATGACGTAGTTGTCGAAAATATGGGTGAAAAAAAGCTGCTTCCGAGTTTATTCTGCTCCATACGCAACAAACATGGGGTGAGAAGAGAATCGGAGCACAGACAACAATGGTAAAAAAAAAACAAGATGACAAAAAACTTGTTTTCAGTGGTGGACATGATGACAACTCAAACAGGGTTTTTCTTTTTTCTTCTGTGCAGTCACGCAGTTAACGAGGGGAACAAAAAGAACGGCACTCCGAAGCTTATCGAAACCCTAAGACCTTAAAAACACACAATGAAAAGGAAGAGACAGTATTGTCGAACATAGTCCGTGTTAGCAACAAATTGAATTTTAAAAAAAAGGGGGGGACGAAGTTTTGCTCTCGTCGGAAGAAATGCGACCGAATGAGCCGTCGTTTGATTTGCGCTTTCTTCGCCGGTAAAGGAGCAGCATCCTTCGGGCACGACATTTTTGTTCTCGAGAGCCCAAAAAAGTACATTCAAATAAAAATCTAAAAAAAATTCAAACTTTAAAAAAAAAAACGAGAGCACCGATTGTTGGGGGCGTCAGTCTCGAAGAGCGATTGCGGGCGACACTGGCGCGAGCACGACGACACGCCGAAGGCGTGGCTGCCGTTCCGACAATTTCTGTCAAACGAAAAGTAACAAAGCCGCTTCACAAAGTCGCGTAGAAACGTAAAAATTTGTCGTCTTGGCAAGGCAAGCTCGCAGGAACGCTTGGGCACGTTGCATATTGAAAGTAGGGATGGCAGTATTTCCGAACACCAGCGAGGCTCAACTCGGGGGTGACCGAGCCGGCCGACCGCTTGCAGCCCTCTGCGAGTGCCTCGAGAGAGAGAGAGAGTCGCCAGCGCACGCGTCGTCGTGTCCCCAATGTCGCCGGCAGCGCCCCTCGGGCGAAGGGCCCCCGGGGACGCACCGCGGCGAGAGAAGTCCGATCTGCGGCGGGAGAGCACAGCCCTCATCAGACGTCGACGGAGAAGAGCTCCTTGTGCAGGGCGGGGAACTCGAGGTGGGGCACGGAGCGGCGGAACTTGGCCAGCGCGTCCATGTGCAGCAGGCTGACCTCGCGCAGGCTGGGCAGCTTGGCCACCAGGCTGTCGAAGACGCTAACGTCGCCTTTGTACGGCTGCTCGTGCGTCTTGTCCAGCTCGTAGCGCAGGCTCTTGAGGATGGCCGTGCTGAGCCGCGTGATCTCCGGGACCCCCTTCAGGCCCGGCCGGTCTGCGGCATGACGCAAGCGAGCACGCCGGCGTTACGACCCTCTCTCAACTCTAATCTCCCAGCTACCCCGTTTCACCCTAGATCCGAGCAGAGCCAATGCTACAAGCTAATGGGGTCGGTCAAGTGGCAACGAAAATGCGGCGTCAGGACATTCGTCGTCCTTCCATGTGTGCGCTATAATTGGCTAAACCAATCACCCACAGTGAACGCATCGTGTTCTTCGCTTTTTACACGTGGGCCTGTACTTGTATGTGGCCTAGCTTCGACTACGCTCGGACGTACGGCGAACAGGAGGATAATTTTTCTCATAAAGGTCGGGTCACGCAGGTAGCGCTGTGCTGAAATAGCGCAGTCAGTGCTGCACTGTGCGAATAAAGGGGAAAGGCAGGGTTCCATGCAGTGGAGTGTCGATGCAGTGCCGATATAGATTAAAGCGTGCCTTGAGTCTATAGTGCCGAGCTCTTGCCATGCTGTATGTGTGAACAGGCCCTAGAGGTGCCCCAGTGTGGTTTCTGACTCCTACATGCTACGGCCATTCTGAGAAAAGCGGGAATTATTAGTGCGCTCGCTTCACTACCCTGTCAAAAACACGACCAAAAATTCCTTCTACCGTATCGAAAACAAGCCAGTTCTTAGTCGGGCAGAAAAGAAACAAGATGGTTGGATGGCATCCGATGGCCTACGCCCGGCTGAGAGCGCGACCTTAAAGGCCGACGTACAACCTCGGTTTTCTGCAGGGAAGATAATCCTCTAAGCGCTCCCCCTCTCCTAAGCTGCGAGGGGCGCCAAGTTGGGGCAAGGTAAAGAGTGGAGAGGATATAGGAAAGGAGGGGGCGGGCAAAAGTGGAAAGTGCGAAGTGTACGTCGGCCTTTAAGCAGATTTACCACCCCTCTTACGGCTAAAAGAGTCACCATTCGTTAGGTCAGACTGTCTGAACAACGTGAAAAAGGAAGGATCGTGTCAACAATGGACATCAATGCCCCCCCCCCCCCTCCCACCTGCTCTCCTCTGCCAGTGAAATTGCCTCTCCTTTCACATGAGAGTGGGATGCACGTGCAGACAGTTAATTCACGGTGTTATGGCATTTGACAAAAAAGGCAAACCTAAGAACTCTCTCTCAAGTTTTCTCCCATGCTTTATAGATCCTAGGCTTCCTGAGACCTGAATTTTGTTGTATTTGGAAAAGCTAGACTGAATTGAGTGATCATATTTTTTAAGGAGATAGTCTGGGCTGTAGACTTCAAAAGTGTGATTTTCAAAAAAATATGCAATTTAGCGATTTCTTTGTTATTTTAAATAGCATCATTTCCCATTAATGCATGCACCTTTAATTCTTGAGCATGTCGGTAAAAACTCGGGTTAACATTGACACACAAGTCGGCAAGCTGTAGGGCAGCAGTGTAACAAACATTTTTTTTCCCAGCTTCGTCCTAATTATGTCTTAACATTGTCGTCTTATCATCTAGTACATCGAGTTGACATTTCTTCGGATAGAATGCATTTCCTTTAAACCAGTTTTCCTGCCGCATATCATCCTAATTTTGTTGATTCAACTAAATCTTATTCACAAGCTTGGCATACTAAGCCCCAGATTTATATTTCTTTGTCATCAAAATCATCAATCAGTACTCTCGCCTCATAAGAAAAACCATCGAAAAAAATAGAGTGCAAAGTTTTAAACTGCTGTTTTCAAACAACCAAGCAGTCCACATCTAGAAACCACCGTTGGCTCTACCCAGGTACCAGTTCATATTCCTAAAGGCCTCCATACTTACTGCTGGGAGCTAGGTGATTCGACAACTCCCAAAACAGATGCAATAGGGGAACCCATTATTAAAAGGCTCTTCACTATTTCTTCAGATAAAATGGCATTACCAAAATTAACAAAACAAAAACTGCCGAAGCCATCCAACAATTAAAGCATCAGCAAAGGCACGGAGTCATCGTCGCCCAAACACCACATGACAATCTTAATGCCTTTTACCAGCAGAAAAATTTACCTCGAAACAACCTATTTGTTAATGTTCTCAACACTTTCTAGCCGGTGGTACCCGGCTCTCTCGTGAAGGCCCTCTCCTGAGAAACTTGTACAGTGCCCGACACATTTAGTGCAAGCAGGACATTGGCCCCTTTTCACATTTTACTCAAATAGAGTAGTGGCAAGCACCAGATTTCATCGCTCGGGTCGGTGCACCCAGTACACACTTTCCACCACACCGGCTGTTCTGGCAATAGCTTCTCAACTTAAAAGGAAATATGGGTAAACCTGACGACTACTCGTTCACGTTACAGACACTGACAAGGTGAGGACGGAAAGAAGGCGCTTCAGTTGTCCTGCCTCCCGGCACACGTGCAGCCCAGTGTCAGTGAATGTTCCCAGAGTACTAAAACTCTCAGGCTCGAAACGCCAAAAAAGCGGGTCAATCTTTTTTCTTCCTACTGTGGTCATGATGAGCGTTTAGAAAGCATGTTTTTTGTGTAAAAACAATCGGAAAAAATGAAAGCCGTTTACAAATCCCTGTAACGTCGAATTGGAGCGCAGCTCTTGAGGAGGAGTACGGAAGGGTACTGAGCGGGGTCACGTGACCTCGGGGGGGTCACGTGACCTCGGGGGATTACGTGACTTCGGGGGGGGGGGGGGGGGTCACGTGATCTCGGGGGGGGGGGGGGGGGGGTCACATGACCCCCCCCCCCCCCCCCCGGCTACGCCGACGGCGACGGCGACGCCGCTCAGGCTGGAAACGGGCCCCTAAGAGCTGCGCTCTAAAAGCTCCTTTTGTGGGAACTTTTGTCGGAGATTAGTACAGAATGACAGGAGCGTGATGCTTTCATAAAATTTTAGTTTACATGGTTTTGCAGCACAATTAATAGTGGTTTTATACAACCACGTCTCACTCGCGATTTCAGGTAGCGCGTCCCGACCAGGGCGGGTTACAACTCTGGCGATAATTCGCGGTGCGTCCGCTTGGGAGACGGGGGTTGGCATCCTTGAAACTCGTTCCACCCCGTATATGTTTAATCGGCAAAATGGCAGATCAAAACTCAAATTGAATGCGACGCTCGGGCAACGCACAGTGAGTCTAGTCAGCGCCTCCTCTAAGGGGTAATGCCTGGCAAGAGAGTCGGAACGGCACGGCCATGCCCTTCAATAACCTCATCTCTCACTCTATGCACTTTGCCGCTAGGAGCACTGGTATCCTACTGCCCTCCGTCGACACCATGCAGGCCCAGTTGGCCGTGCTGGCCGTGCTGGCTCTGTGGAGCTTGGGAAAGATTGTTATTGGTTTAGACGAAAATGTATCTATAAACTTCAAAAACAGTTCCCTCACATTCTTTTTTCTCATCTTGATGGGGATCAGGCAGAGATAGATGTGCGCACCGCCTGGTGTCACAGGCACCCAGCACAGCTAAGCAAGAGCGCGATCTGACAGGCATTCTATAGAGGAGGCGCTGCTCTGGTGCAGGCAAAGTACGGAGGAAGGCACAGAGTGCGAGGTGGAGGCCGATCGTTCGAAGGACACAACCTGTCATTCTCACTCTGCCAGCGACCATGACAACGTCGCCCAATGCGCAGTTTCTTAGGCAGAGGAGAGCGGGAAAGCCTGAAGTACCCACCTGGGGCGAGGAGGACGTAGGCGGAGTAGAGCGCCAGCTCCGTTTCCGTCAGCTTCATCTCAGCTATACTCCGCACAAAGTTGAAGGCATTATTTACAAGCTTGATCTCCAGGGTCTCTGTCGTGGGGGAGATGCCAAGCAATGGTGCCGTTAACCACTACATCAAAGAAGAAGGGCCATTATGCCGTACACGGAACGCAAGTTTGTCTGATGTCGGAACGCTGGGCTCCGATTGGCTTTGATGGAGGGATAGTGGATAGACCTCAATGCTAGGCGCTTCGAGGTCTACCAACTATCCTTCCAATCGGAACAAATCGAAGCTCAGCGTTCTGACGTCGCCGAAACCCCTCCTCAAGAGGCAGACGAATTTGCGCTCAGTGAGGCTAAAATGACTAAACACCTTAAAGGACACATGCAAAGAAAAAGAACATTTTTTTTTTAAACAGCTTAGATGGGAAAAGGATATCATAAAACAATTTTACAACCAAGAAAAAAATTTTTAGAGCTATATTTACGGCGCTATACGAATTTGTAGTTGGCGCCGGCGGGCGCCGCGGAAAAGTGGCCCTTGCTTATCACGTGACGGGACCATATTTGTCACATGGCGCTTGCACTCTTTTTCGGAAGCTTCCTATGGCCTCTAAAAGTAACTTATTCATCTTTGTTTGAAGTTTAACAAAAAACTAAGATGAATAAGTAACTTTTAGAGCCCAAAGGAAACTCCTGAAAAAGCGCAAGCAGACGTGATAGACCTGTGCGCCGGTCAGACGACGGCGGCAGCGCCCCGAAGCAGTCGAACTTGTGCGGCGGCGGTGGCGGCAACAGCGGCGTGGAGAAACACGTTCAAACGGCGTTCGCACAACCCTCAGCGTGCGGCGGCGACGCAGCGTGGCGGCGCGCGGGCCTACCACGTGACCAGCGGCGGCTCCCGCGAGCACCAACTACAAATTCGTATAGCGCCGTAAATATAGCTCTAAAATTTTTTTTTCTTCGTTGTAAAATCGTTTTATGACATCCTTCTTTCATCTAAGCTGTCTGAAAAAATTATTTTTTCCTTTGCATGTGCCCTTTAAAGAAAGCAACACTAAACAAAAGCGAACCAGCATGTCATGCGAGAAGCCACCTCAATAGTCGCGAGCTTCCGACTTTGAAACTAACGTATTAAATCGCAATGAAATGCGACGCAAGAAGTTTTGCATCCCCGCAAACTCGTGCGACATCTTAGAAGGTCTGCAGGCCTGAAGGCCACAATACGGCCATCATGCCCAATTCAGCAAATGTTTTGACTGAAAACTAAAAAAAGAAAAACGAGTTTCTTTAGCGAAACTTTGCCACCCAAACTAAAGCGACTTACACCGGAAGCAACCTGTAGAAACTTGAAGACCTTTTAGCGCAATTTCACAGTGCCAGTAGGGTTGGAGTTCAAGGGCTGTGGTCGTGCGAGAAAGCCTGACAATATAATTATCTTGGACGCAAAATTTGCTGAGACGAGACATATCGCGTGTCCAGCTGTCGCCCAGGTTATTCGGGGTTCTAGCCCAAATCGTGCAGAGAATCACCGGTGGCCTACATTGGGCATTCGGTTGTGCCTTTATTTGGACATTGGTTTTGCTATGTTCCGGCGTTTGTTCAGCCTACCTTGCGTGATGAAGGCGTCCATGGGAAGGAGGCTGTCGTTGTAAAGCACGAGCCCCGTGGGAACGTCGAAGTACCTACTCATCCGGAGGACGCACAGCTCGAAGCTCCCTGCAGAGCGGAAGCAAGGCACACATCACGCTCTTGCACCTAACCACAACAACCGGCGCACACAAAACGACCACCACTGTAGACTCCTTCCGATGTTCAGTCTGGCCACTGGAATCACCATCCAAGTGTGTGGCATCTGTTACGCACTAATGGGTGCCTTCTGGCACCGGATGAACTACGAAGTTCAAGATGTGCACCAATTTATTCGTGCAGTTAGCATCACAAAGGTTAGATTAACACTTGGGCCGCTAGATCACATTGGACTTGGAAAAGGGTCCGGAGGCCTGAAAAAGCTCATGCACTTGTGAACTTGTCAATATAATGAAACTGCTTCTAACATACTTTTCCCAGAATCTAATAAATACAAACTCCATTCTCACAGTCAAACAAACATAGACCAGTGATAACTAAAAGTAGAGACAAACAGAAAAGTTTATTCATACAGATACTGTATTTATTCAAGCTTTAGAGCCACCCATTTTGGCTCGATGTTCGCACCGTGCAAGAACACATATTTCCGGAAAGCCTGGCTCATACAACGTTGCATAAGCACCTTTCTTTAGCATTATAACAATTTGTTTGATGAAACATGCAAACACAATCATTACAGTATTTACACTTTTTCAGTAGACAGATTTCCACTCTGCACATTACACAGTGTCTTCAATGCCTGTGTTCACTAGTGAATAATATATATATATATTTATGGGTATAAGTGTGTGCAGTGTTAAACTGCACATACTAATTTATAATGAATATATATATATATATATATATATATATATATATGTGCAGTTTAACATCAACCAAAAATTACTTCCTGAAACGCATAGAAATATGTAGAGCTCTGCGCAGATAGCAGTTTGATTATCCGCATCCGACCCGCACCTGCATACTTTGTATCCGTATCCGAACCGCATCAGCAAAATGTGGATCCAGATCCGACTCACAATTCAGGCATTCATTGTATATCATAACATCAATCGAGAATAAAAAAAAAAAATAGAAGAAGCACTTTTTAAGTTGTTTGCTTATCTTTGTTTAAAGAAATCTTCAGGTCACCATTCAAAGGAGATGTCATTTTATCATTATAACTTTCATTGTATTTATATTAAAAGCAATCAGCCTTCCTGAGACACATGCGTGTCGAAGGAAAAATGATATCGGTTATGTGATTGTCCTAGGAGTCCGCGACACTCTGCCCAGAAGAAGTGCACAAAAAGGATGTCGAGGCAATTCTTTTGTTTTTGGAACCAATACAACACTACTCTTTGTGGAGAGGGAGGCGTTTCTTTTACTTTCTTGTGACTTGTACGTTTGCAGTCTTTTTTGCCAGGAGAAAGTTTCCACTCTTTCCCTGCCAATGCACTCGCTTTCTCAGGATGATTGATGTCCTGCAATCTTTACTTTTTCTACAGATAGCATTTTTGACGAGAGCCAATGCACTAACTGAAGCGATCTTCAGTGAGAATCAGGTCTTTCTTAGGGTACCTATTGTTTCTTCAAACGCGTTTTGTGTAAACACGTTTCGTAAACGACGTTTCATGGACATACATTTCATGGACACACGGTTCATCGACACTGTACGTTTTGTGGGCACATGCCTCTGCGATGTTTTGTTGACAAAGCATTTCTTCACTAAGCCGCTAAACGCTAGCGCGCGATTCACTAAGGCGAGCTTAACCAAACCATACCCCCCTCCCCCCTGTGATCAAGGCGAGACGAAAAAAGTTTGTTACAAAAATAGCAGGGTTGTGTGTGACGAAACGTCTCAGGTTTTTCGATGAGACAAACACAAGAAGCCTTTGAATCAAACATCGCATGTCGACGAAACGATCTGTAGATGAAACGTCAGTCGACATATTGAATGCCACGGGGCAAAAATTTAGATCCAGAACCGCGGATATCCGTATCCGCAGCAGCCCCTGACATCGGCATCTGATCCGCAATCCGCCAAAATTTGTCTAATTTTTATCGGCATCCATTAGTTTACTGCGGATTTCCGCGGATACCCGCGGGTAATCCATGGATATGCACGGCTCTAGAAATATGCGAGACAAATGCAGTCGATCAAAGAGGTCTCATCATGATTTTGAGCAAAAATATACGAATGAGTGTAGTTGTCATGAAAAAATAAATAAAACTGTAAATTGAAAATTTACAGTTTTATTTATTTAAAATTGAAGGAAAAATAAATAAAACTGTAAAGGGAACAAAATAAATTAACAAAGCTCATAGGTTCAGCTTCATTGTAAGGTTGGCACCAAAACGGCAAGGGTGCTTTCCCGCAGGAGAACTCTTTCTCAGGAAAAGCCGCCTTCAACGTCGCGGCCTCAAAAGCAGATGCTTTCCCGCAAGTGTACATTTTATGCGGTGAAGCTGCCTCAATTTGTTTCAGGGTGAAAACGGGAAATTCCAAAACTTCAAATGTAACAAATCGATCATAGCCTATCTTCGCACTTTCAAATTACTCCTCATATTGAAGATACGCTCATATTCAATATGGCTGTACTTTCAAAGAAAGAAGTGTACTCTAACAACAACAAAAGACGTTCATGCTTCCCACGCAGTATGCTTATATTGCTACTCAAAACCCACTAAAAATGCTGCTCCATACAGAAATATCACCGTAGAATCTCTTATTAAAATATTTGACACGCTTCATATATCAGTTCCGGGCCAACCTAAAAAAGCTTCTCAAAAGCTTCTCAAAAGCTAGCACCCGATGGTGTTAGCGTTCTTGACAAACACTTCCAAAGAGAAGAGAGAAAGTTTCGTACCTGCTTTGAGCAGCACTATCTGGTCATCTTGAGAGAGCTTCATGAATCCCGGCACCATCTTGGCGAACTCAATGATCTGCTGGATGACTTGGGTCAGCTTCTGCGCGCAATCCAGCCACAGTTCCTCGTGCGCCTGGGAAGGACGACGAAGCCATTCACTCCCCAAACTCCTCTGCCAAATTACATTGTAGTGGTAATCTAAAAAGTCAAGTCAAAGACCTCTCAAATGAGCTATGAGTATGCATACGTATATCAACTGCATCTCGCTCTAAATAGCTTTGAAATGGGACCTTTATTCAATGCGGTGGCCAAAAAGGTGGGAACAGCAGGGAGGAGCTTCCGTCGTACCACCTCCAGCGTGAGCTTCCTACTTTCGGTGACGCTTCAGTGTCTCGTAGACCTCGGGCGCGCGTGCGCAGAGCGAAGCAAGGTGGAAGGCACGGCGTGCGTGCCAGAGGCCGCGCGTTCGAAAGGCATGCCCTGTCGTTCTTGTCCTGTCTTTGACTACGGTTGTTTATTCGTTCGACCAGGGTTAGGAGAGGACAATCGGAGTCGCTTTTCTACGGAAAAGAAATATTTCGAGAGGTCGCAAAAATTGCCGACTCAAAAAGAAAAAAACAAAATGCTGTGCTTTCTATTAAAGGCATGAAAATACTAAAGGTAGGAAAGTCATACAGAAATAGGGAGTATTTTGATTCGTATGCCTCCGGCCAAAACTCAAGCTCGAAACGCTGCATGAAATTGCGGTGGAGGCACGCCATTACTAACTTTGAACTCAACGAGCGACAGGCTGATTTAAAGGCACCCTTACCGTGCTAACGTGACGTACTACAGTGATAAAAAAGATGATGCGTGAGAAAGGATGTTGGGAAGCAATGTGACATAGCAATCGTTTTGTCTCTGGTACAATTCCTATAAGTATTTCATTAATGAATGTGTTCTTCGTACACTGAAATGACACGATTACGACCGCACATGCTCTTTTCATTGCTGCCAATGTTGTCAAAATGTACTGTGGGCCGGGAGACGTCGAACTGTCCTGAACGGTTTCTTCTCCTAGCCGCCATCATTGCCGAGATGAAAAATAAATATTGTCGTTACAAGTTCTCTCCTTTTTCCTCAGAGCTTTCCAAAGAAACAAATGTTTTTTTGTTTTTTTTTTAACTTTCTCTCTCTATTAACTCCCACTGGCTGTTCAAAGGGGCACATGATGCTAGCATCTCCAGAAAAGGAAAGCCTCGTGTTGAAATGCACTTCGTTCCAACGTACACCTACTAAGTGGTTTCATTTTCCAAAAATACATTTTTGTACTAGCAAAGAGCAAATTAAGGGTTTAATGGCACAGTGGCGCGCAAGATTATTGCTCACCAACCAAAACCAAATTACCGTATTTTCTGGCCTATAAGCTGCACCCTCCTATAAATGACCATTTTCACAAAAAAGTTGGTTTACACGCCTCATTTTTATGCAAGTCGTACAAAGCAGTCACGGAGCACTTAGAAAGATGGCGCACGTAGTCGTTGCAGCCACGGACCTATGATATCATGATTCATATCACCTTCGAACCACCGGAGGAGTGGACCGGTGCTCCAACATTACTCATTTTTTGTAATTGTCGGCGTGGCTCAGATCTTGCACAACTAAGGTCCATATTTACTTGAAAAAATCCATATAAGTAGCACAAGCATATGAAATGCACTGACAGACATTTTGAAAAAATCCGTGACTTGTGTACTGGAAAATATGCTGACTGCTACTAAAACATAACAGCAACACTAAGATTGACAAGGCTGACATCTGCAGCCACTTGAACAAAGCTGAAACATAATTAGAAATGAGGAGTTAAGAGCACTGTCTACATTCATTACTGACTCCATGCTCAAAAGTCATACATCTAGAAGTGCAGATTATGAATAAATTTCGAATGACAAATGATGTTTCGTTAAATTATGCCAAAACCATTCCTCAAATGCTTTGATCTTGGTCTTTCTTTTAATTTTCCAACTCCACCATATGTTATCTGTCATTCGATGAACCGATAATTAAGATAACCACGCGGGATCGCTTTCACATAGCAATGTGTTCCATTGAAAACGAGAATTAATGGAAATGCCCGCTCCATTACGGGACTACGCCACTTTTTTCAGGCACCTAGATTTTCTGCATGCCAGTGATATGATTGGCCAAAGCCATTTTGAAGCAGCTTTCGGAGCAGCCGAAACAGTGTTTGGGAGCAGCAAATGTGGCTTTTGGAGCAACCAAAACAGTGTTCTGGAGCAGCAAAAGTGCCTTTTTGAGCAGCCAAGACAGTGTTTCAAAACAGCAAAAGTGGCTTTTGGAGCAGAGATTACGGTGCGTGGAATGCGCTTCCGGCCTGTGCGTTTACTGCGGCCTAGAAACTGCCTATCCCTTCCGACCCAACGATGTCGTAGGAGTGTCGCGCTGTCGCCGGCACGATCCAGGCAGCGTCGCGGCCATGACGGTGGTTGTGGCCGACGCCAGTTCCACCGCAGGTCGTTCGCCGTCTGGACGGTCCGTGGAAGCTTCGGCAGCTGGGAGTCGGGACGCCACGACGACGGCAGCGACGCTAGTGCTTTGTTCCAGAACCCTTAAGGCTTTGTTCTTTGTTTTGTATCAGAACCCCTAAAAGCCAGGATCGCAACATCAGACAGCGTGACACTCCAACGCTTGCGACGTCGTTTGTTGCAGCTTCCGGACCGCGTTCGAAGCGCGGGCGCAACGGGACACCAAACGCACCGGGCGAAGACGCGCTCCAGGCACCGTAGACGACGCCCCTAGATAACAAAGCCACCGCACCGAACGAGATGGCGTCGTCGGCGAAGGACAACGCCGGGTACGGGTTAGAGGCGACGATTCCGTCGACGTTCGGCTCGAACTCGGCTCGAAACCGAGCGCCGACGAGGCACTCGTTTCCAATTTGTGTCCGGCGTCGAACTTCGCAGGCAACGCAAAGACGTCGGCGCTGCGGCCTCGTCTTCCGGGCGGTGTCGCCGTGGGCCGGACGAAGGAGGGGAGGGTCACCATGTTTTTGTAGAGCATGACGCGCGAGATGTCCAGCGGCTTCCTCGTCAGATCCTGGATGTGTTCGGTGGTGTACAGGCAGGTCCGGCTGTGCGCGTCCGACACCGTCTTGGCCAGCAGATCTGCACAAATTCCGACGAGGGAAGAGAGGGGGCAGGGGCCCGCCAACACCACGTCAGATGTCGGAAACATTAGCCGCAAATCAAACGGTGGAAGAACACCGGATCTCCAAACTGCGAAGAAAAGGCCACTGGCAATGTACGCTTGTTTTATGACGACGATAATTCACGGAGAAGGGATTAGTATTGTTTTATATTATCAGTTTTATATATAAGAAAATCACATCAGTGTAGGGGAGAAATTGGTGGTGGAAACTTTTCTGTTGTTTTTCATTTGATTTTAAATTGAATTCTCACGGCCACTGTAATCTTGGGTGCTAAGCACAAGTGGGAGCTCAGTTGTCTTTGTTCTATTAAGGCTTTAAAAAGAAATCTGAAGTTAATCACAAACATTTCTGCCAAACGTTTTAGGGGCGAAGCTCCTTTGGGGCTAGCCATGTCCGTATGTCCGTCCGCCGTCGGGTGCACGTGCTTCTGCTCGTGAGCTCACGTGCTCACGAGCACGGAGCACGTGCTGCCGTGCTCGTGTAGGGCAAAATAAAACAACCGCATCTCCACGTGGTGAATAATGTTGATTGGGGCGAAGCTCTGGTGGTGCTTGTCTGCGTAGACGGTGAGCCGCAGCATGCCGAACCTTTCGTTCGTTTTCATCCATGTCAGAAAGAGAATGTGTGGTATGGAACGTGGTTATGCACGCATTTGAGCATTTGACCGCAGCGTCACATGGATGAAAACGAACGAAAGGCTCGGCATGCTGCGGCTCACAGTCTACGCAGACAAGCACCACCAGAGCTTCGGCCCAATCAACATTATTCACCACGTGGAGATGCGTTTTTTTTTTTGTTGTTTTTTTGCAATATCCCATCCAAAAACTGTAACACAAAATATGTCTGCAATCTTATGCATACAGAAGAGAGTGCAAAAGAAGCAAAAAAAATCCTTACAATTTTAGCTTTGTTCTTAAAAAAAAAAAGTTATCACATGTCAAACTTTTTGCAATAATAATTAAAAATGCCAATGTAAAAAAAAAATCTTAGTAGTTCAAATCTATCAGAAATCTTAGCCTTGTTGCACCCTCTGATTTATGAGGTATCCAATCTCAAAGAGGTATATTCAGATCGACATGCTAAATCCAAAGATGCAATGGACCAAACTTTGTGTTGAGAACAAAAACATTAATGCTGAGAAATGAAGAAAAAACTTACTCAGAACACATTTTAAACCGCCTGAATATATAACTTTGAACTGATATAACTAAGGAAATGTGCACTTTCTGACTGGAATAATTTGAAAACATGTAATTTGAGACTTTTTGATTGAAAAAAAGAAACGTTCTAAAAAAGTATTTTTCTATCTTTTTTTTTTTTTTTTTTCGAAACCAGGGTTACCTTTGATGTCAGTCTCGTGATGCAGGCAACGGGTCAAGTCATACATCGCGCTATCCCAGACTGAGAAACAAAACAAATGTTGTCCTATGTGTTCAACATTTCAAGTAATATCTCAGCGAGCTCCTATGTTATGCGTCAACCGAAATCTCTGTCTTCTGTGTTTTCCTTCTGTGCATCGCTTTCACTTATGGGTAAGAACAGTCTATTAGAGGCTTGGGAGTCTCGTGTTTGAGAATTGAGTTAGGTCGTCCTCCGAGCACACCATTCCTTAGTCTCGGATGATTATTTTGCGTGATTGTCCGAGCCTTGAAACTTTCGAACTTTTGCGCTGCGCCCAGTGTGCTCTAATTACGGCTTTCGTGCTCCAAAGGAACACAGTGCTGACGCATTCCTGAAAAATGCTATTTCCCATAGAGAAAACATCTTTGGACTTAGATCTGTCCAACTTTCACAAAAAAGGAAAGCTGGCAAAGTGAAAACACAGTAATATTATTTTATGTACTTACCTGTCTCCCTACAGCATAAACCATGGTTTATTCACAATATGGTCAACATGATGCAGGGAAAATTAAAATCTTTGACATCACTAACATCACACAAGCATTAATTGCGATATGTTGAAAAGCTACGACAGAAAGGGGTGGTGGAGGGAAAAAAACAGACATACAAATAAACCATTATAGTATAATTGCATTTGCAACCTTGATTAAATATTCTCTCGAACAAAGTATCATACACCAATTCTCAATTTTTCAGAGACAAAATAAAACAAACCATTCTTGTTTATCTGATAGCAATAAAGCAGTAACGACTGTGTGGAGCAGATAATTGTACAACAAATAAATATCCCGTTCTATATCTTGCAACACAGACTGAATGCAATCATCTCGAACAGAATAAAAATTGATGCCTAGCAAGCAGCCTTGCACTTACTCAAACAACAGTTTGTGTGGTACACTGACACAAGACTTCTAAAGAAAGGGGCACCTCCTCCAATTTGACATTTTAAGCACTTACTGATGGCAAACCTATTAATCAAAATGAGTAAAAAAAAGCGAGCCACTGAAATCTGCATTTACACACGAAAGAATAAACACAGAACATGGCCTCTTTCAAGATGTCGTGCTCTGTGCAACGTCTTACTGTAAAACACAGTGGAAGAGCCCACTTCGTTCAAGTGCCCACTGTTAACATTTCCCAAACTTGGTAATTCTTCAAATCATACATCAAGCGCCCGATTTGACTGGACAAGCGCCCATGTCTAGATTTACCCAGTTTCCAGTAACATTGGGGTGGGCGTATTTTACGGTATCTCTTTATTCTGTCTCATGTAAATGAACCATACCAACACGCTCGGTTTTTAATAGCTGAAATCTCGCTTAAAGGAACTCTCTAAAAAAAAGAGAAGAATCATTAATTGAGCCTCGGGCATAGGACCGCTGAAACGGCAACAGCCAATGACAGCCTAATATTTTGCTTCCATTTACTAAGAAAGTGATTCAACCAACCTGTCTTACAGCATGTAGAGGACGCTATCAAACAACCAATGCAAAAACAGGCACCACACAGATCAATGCAAACTCAATGGGGTGGCAAAGTTCGCTAACACTGGCCACCGGGGAAGGCTGTGCTGGGGGCATGCAGTGCTGACACGACGGAGAACACAGAACGGCAACAGAAAACGAGCCAGATACAGCAGACCAACCAAACATGATTACCTCGGATTGCTGGCGAAAGCGGCATGGGCGTAGAAAGAGTGAAAACAAAAAGTTGACGAGGCAATGCATATTACCAAATTGCACTTGAGTCAAGCTTGCTGCATTGCGAAATGGGACTTTTCTGGATAAAATACCAATCTGCACCCTCCCCCACGGAGCGGTTCCAGAAAATCGACACCCACACAAAGCCATTCAGTTTTTGCTCTCCCCACTTTATTCGCTCGCTCATCTCTGCTGCCGAAATTAGTTGCACAGCCAATTAACTTTGAGTGCACTTTCACATTTCTTCTCTGCTTGTGTTTAAAAGCTATATTTAGTCTTCCTAATTGTGGCCACAGAAGAGGAGAGTACCGATCGTGTGGGTGCAAATTCTGCTTAAAATGAGTGTCAACGCTTACTACTAAGTTCCTCATTGCTGTAAAAAATAGAGAAGACACTTATGTGGAAGTCACCTTTGCCATGCATACGTGAGGAAGGGAAAGCGGTGTTTCAGACACGCAGGATTTCACTTGGCTATTGAATGAGCCAGAGTGTTCTTATTGCAGCCTGAAGCAAGCGGTAAACTCTCAATGTGGTAGCCTAATGCAATACTTCCTTTGCATTTTATATCGTACTAAGGCAAACATTGATACATAGAGGCCACGCTAGTCCTGCCACCCCTCCCCTTCCTGGGTTTTTTGTTACCAATTTTGCAAATCTGCCGTGGAATAAGGTCGATTATGTATTCACTGGAACTTCAAAACGGAATATTAAGAAGTTTCGAAAAACATGAGCTGTTAGAAACATCTAGTTATGTCTCGGCTGAAATCATTTTTATGGATTGGCTTAAGCAGCCATGTTATGCGAATCTATGTGAACACATTCTTTCCACCAAGAATGCAGTAGCTCCATACAATGCAGGGTAGACATCATTACCATAAATTCTTCAAAAAGCCCACATATCAGCTTTTTCTTCCTACTGCTTGTAAACAGCATGAGATGCTCTTGCAAATCAGACAAAAGAATGTCAGCAAGCCACACCATGTCATGACATGTCATGGTTGCAGTGCTTCAACATCACCAACCCACTTAGTGCCCACCTGTTTGGCTCATGGCAATGCTCCAAGCAACAATGAAATGACATGAGGCTCATGGAGAACTAACCTTCTTGGGATGCCGATTTCAAATCTGAATCCTCTGTGGGTCCATGGGGAAGACAAAAAGAAAGACAACATTGCATTAGCCGAGCAGACACAAGGAGCGTGAGAGCAGAGTCAATCTGATCCACTGCTCCATCTGACGACCATCACCAAGGAAGAGGGATCCCACGCAAGTTTTGGACGAGGATGCTTCGAATTCCGCAAGTCATGCATTGGGAGAAAGAAGCGGCAGCGAAGGAGGAAGAAAGAAGACACCCCGTCGGGTGTCATGCAAAATGCAGTCCAAGCGTGACTGCTGAAAAATATGTGAATGCCAAACGAAAACACAGCAATTTCAGGTTTTATTTCCTAAGCGGAACATTTCTAACTCTGGAGCATGTTTTGCCATGACATACTTTGGCCTGGATAGCTTTGTAGCAACTCCGATAGCATGCCTACTTGAGCTCAGAGATGTTGATCAGACTCCAACTGTGTTGCTCACAACTGAAAACTGTATTGAGCCTTATTCAAACATTGTGTTTTCTACTTGGAAAAACCTGCAGTTTTGCATATTGCAATCAAAATTACTGTCTGAAGGTCTCGTTTCTACTAGCCACCAATTCTTTGCCATCTTTTGTGAAATTGTCACTCACATTTCATTAGTGTGTAGACATACAAATCAAATAAGATGCATAACAGACCTATGCAAGGTATGTCCTTTGAACATTGGCAGAACCAAAGCGATAAAAACTGAATTGTGCCAAGCCTGTGGTAATAAAGAATGTCTTAATTTTGAAATAAACTATCTTGAAAGCAGTAGTTCAACAGAAACTGGATAGCACATCTGAGGAAAAATAATGTTTACCCAAAAACAAATGGAACGACTTCTAAACAAGATCTGCAAATGTGACGGGTACATTTTATTCCAAGTTGCAATCCTGAGATTGCCTATAAATGGTGATTTTGATGGAGGACTTGACAGTAAAATAAACGCCGATTGGACTTTTTTATCTTATAAGTTCAAGCATGCCATAACCACCATAGAGCCTCAAGCTGCAGATGGGTTAGGAAGCAATGTGGTTAATGAGAGGATGGCAGAAGAATAAAATAACTGCATTGCCTGAGCCTTGGCAGGGTCGAAGACAAACGAAGCAAAGCGGGTTTGAACACTGAAGTGCTTGCAGTAAGGATCGGACAACAAGCCCCTCAACAATTTCAAAATGGCTCTCAGGGACCTGATAAAGGCTTCTAGTTATTTCTTCCAGGACCATATACTTGCTTTTAAGTTTTCTTCCTTGTATGCCAGCAAACAGGCAGCCCCAGCCTTCCAGGAAATATTGTTTTCTTTCACTCCCCATTCAACTTTTTACTTTCAAAGTATAAAATGAGCTTTTCCCAGACACAGAACCAACATAACAGCTCTGTTCCAGAAAGAATGCAGAAGTTTTTCTAAAATGCATCAATTGGTGGGTACCCCTTTGAAATACTGATTGAGCCGCACAGCTTACAAAGAACAATAAGAAAACCTTGCTCATTAAGGCAGAAGTGTGAACGCGAATCCCCAATAAATTGAGCTCCAACTAACGGCAAAAGCAAACGGTCATTTTTTTTCTCCGCCCTAGCACGGCAACTTTCCACCAGCCCTCCAAACAAGCTATGCGGACGCCTCTACCAAGGTCCGGGCATCGAGACAACTCGCAACGACACGAAGCAGCGGCATTTCGTCAGCACCACCACCAGCAGCCAGTGTGTTACACGGAGAGAGGGGAGAGAGCAGGGGAAGGGGGACTGACCGAGGTGCGAGGCGAGAGAGGAGGCAGGTACAACGGTGGTGGTGGTGGTGGCAGTGGTGGAGAGCAGGCCGTTGGTGTCCGGCGTGGGGTCCATCTGCTGGCGCTGCTCGAAGGTGGTGCTGTCCACGTAGTCCGTGCTCATCTCGAACTGGATCGTCGCAGGCGTCGCCGTGTACGCGTACCCGTTGGGTGTGTACGAGGTCAGCTCCTCCGGGTACGTGTACCTGGGTGGATGGGAGGAGGGCACGGGGATGTCAGAAGGTGCTGGGAGCACGCAAGTGCTCCGGAGGAACGTGCCGCTGGTTCCATAAAGGTCTAAAAAGTAATTCTCGGTTCCTTAATGTTTTCCGCAAATTAACTGAAGCAAGACAGCCGAGAACCCTGCACATTTACAGTGCCGTATTTAAATTTAGCTGACTTACATACTGCTAAATTGGGCGAGAAAATTGTGAAGTCACGCGATACTGTGATGTCACAATATTGGGGTACTGAGATTTCCTGCTTAATTTAGCGGAAAACGTTTCCCGCTAAATTTAGCAAGCAACGAGTACTGTATATTGCCGCGTAATGGTCGGCTCCAAATATTGGCCTAAAACCCCATATTTTTGGCCCATCAAAAACAATATAATTCTTTCTTTGATAATTGTCTTTATAGATATTTATTCTTGAGATACTGATCTACGAAAAAGTCGACTTATACGCAGTAATATACGGTATGTCCATGAAACAAAGTCAAATTTGGGGGTTTTACGTGCCAAACCAACCACGGGCATCTGGCACGCCCCAGCGGAGGACTGAGGATTAATTTCGACCACCTGGGGATCTTTTGATGTGCAACCGAAATCTCGATTACACGGCGCCTCCTCCGCAATAAGCCTCCGTCAGATTGCGAACACCTCGGCCGGGATTCGAACCCGCCACATGGGGATCCGTACGCCCGCGCTCTCGCCTCGGAGCCACCGAGGCAGCGTTCATGAAACAGACACAGGAACCGCTCCGACACCTCACCAATAATGCCTATAGCTGTAAAAAGACCCAAGCCTCCAGCATAATTAACTGCCTTACACAGTTGATCACAGCGGCAAAATTGATTTCCACTGACCGCTCATAAAAAATGTAGGTCCTTGCTTTTTGCTTTACTCGCGTCTATTGATGCATTTGTGTCAAATGCTCATGATATTCAAAATCACGGGACAAATATATGCTAGAATTCACCTCTAACTCATCTTTTTTTTTTTCAATAATCCTTTTAGCCTTCCTTTCAAAAACCCTATAACAAAAAAAAAAATTTAAACAGTTTGGTTGGGATACGTGTGCAGATCCACCTCTCCTCCACGCGCCCGAAATGCCAAGAGATAAAACAAATGGGAAGGTGGTGACTGCCGACTAAATCGCGTCTCGCGCCGTCACAATTGCTCTAAAAATATTTTTTTCCTGTAAATTTTATATTTTACACGCGTGTCCCAACCAGACTGCTTAAAAAAAAAAACTTGTTTTTCCTTTCAGGTGCCTTTTAAGGGAACAGAAATAAATAAATAATAATGACAGCTCACTGGAGTGCGGGCAAGACCTCCTAGATAGCGAGACAAATAGTTCCGAATTTTTTAATCACTTGAGTGCATCACTTGACGAGGACCGTGGCAGCGTTTGGCTATGACTCATGTCCTTGCCGACTGAATGCGAGACCCAGCCGAACGCCCATGCGGCACTTGCTTCTAATCTGCACCCAGCGCTGGTCTCGGGTAGTCAAGGCAGAAAATTCGACATTAAAGCCGGGAGGTGTTGGTCCGATCGGCTGCCCAGCTAAGACTCACCCCCCGTTGAGGAAGGGCACGGCCTGGTTGGATGAAGAGGGCGTCTGCTGCTGGTCGAAGACCGAGCTGTCCGGCGACGTCTCGGTGGCCTGGGCCCCCTGCGCGGCCGACGCCAGGCCCTGGGAGGCGCCGGACTGGCCCGTGCCGGGGTTGGTCCCCTGCGGCCGCACCAGCTGCGCCCGGTGGAACCGCACCTCGTCCTCAACCTTCTCACGCTGCTTCTTGGACATGCGCCCGAACTTCACCGCTGCACGAGGGACAAGAGAACAGATCGAGGATCAACAATGGGCCGCACTGCGCGAGTATGGTGCATCGAATGAATCTTCTACTGGTGTGTCTGGCGTCCTGCAGTCCCGTGTAGCAACAAACTATGTCGCAGGGGCAATGTAGCTTATGGCCGTCACAACGGCCATAAGCTACATGGAACTCCCGTGGAAGGGCTTATGGCCCTTCCACGGGAGTTCCACAACTGAGGTAATCTAGTAACATTGACGCGATTCGTTTCCATCACAAAGGGGTTCCAAGTGGCAACACACTCTGTCACAAGAGCCAGTGTGTCACACGGTCGAATGCCGCGATCCTGGCGGTTAGTCGTAGGAATGTCGGCAAGAAAGGAGAGCCTATGCGAGAGTCGCCGTCGTCACAGCGTCGCGGAGTCCAGGCTCGTGTCTGTTGTGGTTTCCATCGACAGAAAAAGCACCCGCTGCATCAACCTCCACTGCTTTGCCACTGCCAGGATCGCGACAAGTAACAACGTGACACTTTTATGACGCCATCCGGCGGAGATCGAGGGACCGCTTTTTAGGATGCGGTAAACACACCGGTCGGAGACACGTTCCAAGCACCACAGCACAGGTCCACTTTTCCGTGCAAGAAAAGAAAAAAAAGCCAGCGTAGTTTAAACTGCGCAGAAAGACTGGAAACCAATGCCGCTGTCGAAAAAGGAGGCTGATGGTAGGTGTCCCTTTGCTAGCTTAATATTTCTACTGCGTGACAAAAGTTGACTGAGGAAAGAAACTGTACGACGCAGCAACGCTCCATTTCATCCTACAATGAAGCACAGTGGATGCTACGAGCCATTCCAGCCAATAGAGCAATGTGAACGTATCACGTGGCTACGCACCCCATGTTTCACTTCGTGCCTCCCAAAGGTTGCGTGACACCCACATGGCATTTGACTGGCTTCGATGGATCGTGGCGTCGTCTGCGGTCCATCGTAAGGTGAAACAGAGTGTAACACCAGGCAAAAAGAATTGAGAGAGGACAACGTACTTCATGTCCCTTTCCCTCTATTTTTTTACTTATATTATTTTTATTTGGGCTTTGGGAAAGCTGTGCCTGCCTTGTTCTACCTTCTCTGTACAATCCACGACCGAAAAAAAACGTGCATTTCGTATCTGTTCCAGTCCAATGAACCGAGAAAACAAAATCAACAGGTTGGTAGGATTTTTAAGCAGGTCACAGAAAAGCTGGAGAATTGTAGCATGATTCATCATGCTATATGTTGCTATATGCTGCACTTTTGGGGCTTCGGCAACAATAATTATATATTTGTAGAGCACAAATCTAGAGCAGCAACAATGACTGAAAAGAGTGCAACACAGTCAGCATGAACACACTATCGCCACTTTGCCCTTTTTCTTCTTTCAAAGACAAAGCTATAATTCAAACTTTGTGCAATGAAATGTGGCTATACGGGCCATTAACCGGGGAATTTTATGTACAGCGCAAGGCTATTTAAATAAGAGGTGAAGAAAGTGCCTATATCACGTTTGTCCGAACGAGGTAGCACAGCGCACACTTCCCATCAGCTGCTTTGGCCTGCCAAACGCTGTGCAGTCACTTGTGGGAAGATGCGAGTGCAAAATAAGAAGGGAGAGTGTAGAAGGGGAGCCGGGTCTCCGGGAACGAACCATCTCGAGACATCCCTAATGCGAGACACTTTTGTAGCCGGCAGTACTGGCATCGGTTCCTGTTCACACGGTCGACGACGCAGTTCTTCTGCCTGGGACACTGGTAGTTGACCACGCTTGACTGGCTTCTCCTGAAAAATCCCTGCGCGAGAACGAAAAAACAAAAATAAAACCATCTTCACCCATTAACCTTTTCAGGAATGTTAATGTTCGTCTTTTATTAATGTCATTTGATGTATACAGTGATTCATAAATATGTTCAGCGTATTGTACGCACTCCAAGAAGAAACTACATATCGCCGGGCACTCAGTCCCTGGCCGACTGCAGCACTAATAGTTAAGATAAAATGGCTTTTTTTTATTAAAAATTATTTTTTATGAGAAAACGGCGAGTAATGGAACCAGCGAGCACATGCAGTCTCAAGTTGCTCACTGACAATCTACAAAAATTACTCGCCGCCTTGGATTTCGATATGCAAAGTTCTGAAACTTCAGCAATCTGATCGCAACCTCTAGCGTTACATTTGTTCGGATACCGGGCGTTCGATGACGCATAGCTTATTTTGTGGCAAGGAAGAAACATTGGTTACCTTCTTCACTTAGGACCCGCATTTTCTCACTATAGGGCTGCGGGGAAGAACAATTTTCTAGCGTCTACTTCAGAATACCATCTGCGCGGCCTCGGCACCGTAATTAAAATAATCGGTCCTTTCATAAATGGCGGCTGAAGCCGCAATGTGCTCCGTCGCAAACATGCGACTGGTGTTCGCATCATGCAGGTGTCAAATGTGGGCCACTGCGCCTGGCAACAGACACGCGAGTTTGTCTAAACTCCTGCAAGCAGAGCGAGAGAGGGAGTGGAACTCAGATATAATATTGGCGAACACATGCCGCGGCATCCGATTATCGGCTACAATAAACGTGATTATCGAAATTCTGACACGAGCGCGTCAGCTCTCATTACCTACCATAAGTTATTCTGAACCACAAAATCGCTGGCACCTAAAACATATGCGACCCACGGTAACACCACAGAAACGTCCGTTTTTTGTTGTTGTTTTAGCTTTGCTACAGTATTTTTTGTACTACATGGGAGTATAAAAGATTAACAAGCTTCAGTCGGAAAAGCATAAAACAAAAAGCCTTCAAAACACATTTCTTAAAGCGTCCGAACTCAAAAGTGGACCACTTTTCTTGTTCCTATAAACTGCAACTATCCTAAGTACTTGAATACTTGATCGCCCCCATAAAAGGAGTGGCCAACATGTTCCGGCTTTGTGCTACCCTCGCAAGTACTAGTGCTACTTGATAGCAGATATTTTTATTCGCATATAAGCTCCCGCAAATCCACTTTCCCGCTTGGCGCACGAGCGTTAGGGCAAGCCAGCTTTCAGGCGCAAACAACGAATTTCTAGTTTGCGTAGTAATAACGCAGTTTTTAGATTACCACGCGTTTCTACTTTTAGATATATATATGAACGAACATATGCAGATGGATGAACCTTACTTAATTTAATGATTCCAAGAATCAAAGTTTTACGAACTCAACGAAAGCCAATATAAACGACCGGAGCCCCCCCAGGAGATTATATATATATATATATATATATATATATGGTGGTTAAAGTCACCAGGCTCGATCGAAAATGGACCGTAAAAATCGACGCCTGCACGTAGCAATCTAAACTTTTCGTCAAAGGTGTAATTCACAGGTCGTTTTTTTCTAGTAAAATTACAAATAACGCCAAGAAACCTGCCAGGGTCTACGACGCGCAGCAACGCAGACGACAGGGGTTCAGTAGCGTGGTGTGTTTGGCGTTCGTGTGGATAGATGGCGCTACGTCCTACGACCACCGTAGTTTATTAAAATGAATATAATATTTTTGAAATGTACCTTCGGTTAAAAAATAAATGCGAACAATAAAAGCAAAAGAAAACGCGTCTGCATAACGGCGGCGCTTTTGCTGCCAACGGATTTCGTCTGCGTGTCGTCCGCTATCTTTCGCTGGTCGGCGGAACCTTCAGACGCTGCTCCCGACGCCATCTATCGATACGAACGCAAAACACACCCCGCTACTGGACTTGGTCGTCTGGGTAGCCGCCCGCTATAGACCCTGGCAAGTTTATTGGCCCTATTTTTTACTAAAAGAGAACTACGCTTTGTAATTTCCCAAGAAAAAACCGACCAGTGAAATACACCTTTGACGAAAAGTTTAGATGGCTACGTGCAGGCGTCGATGTTTACGGTCCATTTTAGATCCAGCCTGGTGATATATATATATATATATATAGATAGATAGATAGATATATATAGATAGATGTTAGCTAGTAAACTTTAATTGATTATTTCGTTCATTAGTATGTTTTTGCAATCCTTGGCGGCTGGTAGTTTGTTCCCACAGAGAGTTTGATTCCATCTCGAGCAGCATGTTTTTAGGGATTTCTGAAAGCTACCGCAGAAACCATACTTGCCGCCATCTTATAACCGACACATTCCTCCCGTAAGCGGAACCCACTTGAAGAAGCGAAGAAGCAAGTGACGATAAAATTGTATTTGTCTTTAGGGAGTTTTCGTAGATCGCGTTTTCCCCTCCGCTAAGCCGCCCGCAACGAGGAAGCCGCTACAGCGCCTGCGCGCCGATGGCCTTGACCGTAGAGTTACGGGTATCGTAACGGGTTGAAGAGAACGTTTCCGGACGACGAAAACCATCTACGAAATCTTTCTGATCTTTCTCCCCGGGTTATAGGGTCCCTTCGCCACCGCCTGTCGAAGATAGATAGCGCCACTCTGCGCCCGAGCTGTCCACCATTAGATAATCCGGCCACTCGAGTAATCAGTGATGCGGTGCACGTACCTTGCAGCCTTCGCAAGTGATGACTCCGTAATGGACACCGGAGGACTTGTCACCGCACACTTTGCATGGAATAATCTCGATTTGGGCTGCAGAGAGAAAAAACAAAAACAAACCAGAAAGGTCAGAGAAAATATATATAAAATCCTAGTTGCGCGCAGATGCGTCATCCCGACAACAAGACCAAAATCACAAATGCGGTTAATGGTCCGAGTAGTCATCGTGCAAAGATTTCAAGAAGAAAAAAAAAAGCAAGCAGCGTTTCCAGGCAGCATGCCGTGTCCTCGCGTAGGAAGTCGAATGTTGGATCGAAGTGCATATCACAATCGGGCAAAAACACGCGTAGAATCGGGAAGGATACGGATGCGGTATGTACCGACGTGCGTCGATCAACAACTCAACTGCTAGTACCGAACTGTTGTCTTTCATTATTTCAGCGACATCGTTACTATATTCCATTTCGTACCCTCGTGCGCTTCGAATAGATCCTTTGGAAATGTACATCGAGCAACGCTGGCGGTCGCCATTTTTCTGGGACACGGAACGAGTAACTGGGTTCGAGCCCTGGCCAAACGATGACGCAGTCCTCGTTCGTGTCCAGCACATCCTCGAAGTACGTATCCAAACTTCGAAAAAGACTCTATTGTGTCAACAGCCACTTATACGTTGCCATTAAAAAGGTACGTCTAGTTCCGCCACTAAAACCTGCGTCAAAAATTAAAAAAAAAACGTTATTATGTCATATTTGTTGACGCTGACTGTAGGAAACGGCATTTTCCATGTCGCTAGATTTGACGCACATAGTAAGCACGTCTAAAACGAAAAGGTATACATACACAATATTTATTCTTTTACCGCAAAACTAATTTTTGCATCGTCGATCGCTCATTTGTTGCCCCAATGTATGGCTGGTGGTCCGAAACAGATGCCGCAGTTTCAGAACTAACCGTTATTTCAATCAAAAGTTAGAAGCGATTTTCTGAAATTTTTAATGGGAAAATGGGGTTCGTTTGTTCCCCGTTTCCAGTCACCGGCGCCATTCAGCTGCATGTATCTCCGTCGGCCGCCATTTTCCGATCGAAAATTTGAGAAGAAAATCGCTTATAACGTTTGCATAGGAAAACGGGTAGCTCTAAAACTTTTGCATCCGTTTCGGACCGGTAGCTCCACATTTGGGCGGAGAATGAGGGCTCGCCGATCTGTAGCTTATTTGTGCTATTATAAAAACAATGTAATTATTTTCTTTCTTTCCTTTTTTTTTTTTTGGGGGGGGGGGGGGTGGGGGATTTTGTGGGATGTCAATATAGATTGCAGAAAAGAGCCAGAATAAAGGTGATTCAAAATGCCCTAATCGGGAAAACAAAACTGAAACTATGTTGCACGAGAGAGATACTTTTCGTAACAGGATCACAAGCAGTGAGATTCCACGCAATCGCAGGGACCATGCTTCATCATTTTCCTTCTTTCTTTCAGTGTTATTTGGAGAGAGACGAGGAAGCGCAGTCCGTTGATGGCTCATTAAACGCCGGGCAATCTCGCGGAGCTTCCAAACATCACCTCGGACCGTCACAAAACGTAAAAAAAACGAAAAAAAAAAAAAAAAAGTTCGACGAACGAAGCGCGGGTAACGTTGTTCTCCCAAACATTCGCCCGGTATCGATCGAAACTTCTCGATGGAAAAGTGGTGGCATTAAAGATGCATGAGCCCGCGCGGGCGCCGTATCGTTCGAGACGAGGAAACACCAATAAACGAAAATCCCGGGCAAGTTAAAACTACAATAGAAGAGAGAAAGATGAACTGTCAATGCGCAAACACGTTCGCCGCACGCGCGGCTTATGGATCCAGCGAATGCAGCTGCCCGCAAAGAGCCACGACGAACATCGCGGCGCTGATGGAGCGACACGTTCGCCTCTTCGACGACAAACTAGGTGGCGCCAGGAGGCCTGGTGAAGGTTCCCATCACGGCGCATAGACGGCGCCAGCTTCCCTCAAAATCAGCAAAAGTACTTTTTTTTTTTCCTTTTTAAGTCAATCAGTTAGAAGATTAGTAGGCATGTTTTTTCAAGTAACAGCCGTCAATCATAAGTTGATATCTTGATACAACCCCCGCCCTTCCCATTCCCCCACGGCTTAACCTCGAAAATAAGAAGGAAAAAAAATAAAATAAAATGCAATTTCATAGCAATGGTGCAACACGACACTAATAAGGACTATTAATCCGAAGTGAGATTGAAGGGTAGAAATAATTTCAGAATGAACGAGACATATCGGGATTCCCCTGTCCGACACCGGCAGAACAATGCGCCGGGGAAGTTGACGAGGCATCGTATAGTGCAGTCATCGAAATTCGCGAGATTTCGGTGGCCGTCCGAGGTGTGAAGAGTCGAGAGGCCTTGAAAACGCCAATTTAATCTTCCGGAGCACCGAAGGCTTTCCGAGAGCCTGCGTGGTCCCTAGGCGGCACCACGGAGGCAGAACGCTGCAGTGCTCGATTCTCTATGCCACCTAGTAAGGGCAAGCGCCGGTCACATACTGGACACGAGAACTGTGTCGGAGTTCGGTCGGGAGTCTTGTCGACAGCCCTCGGGTGATGACGAAGGAAATTCACTATGGCCACCTATATAGGTGGTGCCGCCCTAGGACATGGTCGATACGAGAAAAGGTGAAAACTGAGGAAAAGGAAAGGGAATGAGGGAGAAAGAAAGCGATATTTACTCATCCCGTTAGGTAGTGTAAAAGCAACGAAATTAGATTAAAAAAAAAAAAAGAGTGCGCAAGCTGAGGCAAAGCTGAGGCAAAAGTAGACGTCCCCTGACCAAGCCACTAGGATGCACATGCAACACTTGCAGTTGATACTTTTATACTGACTCCGGGTCTCTGTGGGTCCCCCAAACAACCTGGGGCGGCGAACTGCGCATGTGCACAACCTCTGCGCGTGCCCAGTGCGGCGCCCCCAAGCTGCCTGGAAGTTGGGAGACCCAAAGCGTCGGGGCCTCCCTATTGTAAAACTCTCTCATTTGACCGCATGGAAATCTGCCGGAACACAAGAGACGTCCGAAGGCGGTATGAGGAAAGGGTTACGTAACCCGGGGGAAGGGGAAAAACACTACCTCGAGGTGTTTCCCCGTCGACTTGACTAATGACCTGGATCGCGTTTTGCTTCGAGTGCTTCGTGGAACGCCGAGCGACGGCAGTTTATTTTTGCGCCGGGGCGAGCACCTCTCCCCTCCCTGCCCGCTGGAAGTCGTCCAGAGAGTTTGTTCTCTCTGACCCATACTTGTTTTGGTTGGGCTGCCACGGAGACTCTTCCAAGTCAGACGTGTGAAGCCGCGGCGTCTTTTTTGCGCCCAGGAACAGACCCCCCCCTTCCCTCGGCTGAAAGGAGCAGGGCGAGGGAAGGACCCCTGTTCGGCCTAATATTTCACAAATCTCGACTAAGTGGGTCTAATGGTACCTGGCGCCCCAAAATACCTCCGCTCGCAGCTGGATCGATTCGCTCGGTGATACGAGACGAGAGGCGCGGGCGGCGTGTGACTGACAACGCGACTGCAAATAGCTTCGAGAACTCGCGAACAGAGACGACCCCTTTTCTCTCGAGCTTTTATGTCCTAGTCCCACTGGAGCGGCAAACAGAAACAACCGACGCCGACAAGCCTCGTACACGTGCAGCAGGCGAGCGAAGGTAACTGTGGCAGGTCTGCGATCACTCGTGCTTACCTCACGAGCACCGAGAGACTGCAAGCCTGCCAAAAGTACCTTCGCGTGCATGATGCACGTGCTTGAGGCCGGTCCGTTGTCTCTCTTCGTCGCTCTATTGGGGAGGAGATCAAACAGTCACGCCTTTAGCGGTATGCTTCAGCTGGGTGGTCAACAAACCGAATTTTCGTGTATGTTTTTGATCAGAGAAATCGAAGATGACGAGTCGAAGGCCGCTCCTCGTGCGGCCAGAGCACTGATCAGACGGAAGCGCCCGTGCCGGGACCGAGCTGGGCGAGGTTCAGTTTCTTTGTTATGCTGTGTCAGTAAACACCGGGGTGTGGGGACAACAAGCTCGATAAAGCGCCCCCTAGAGTTCAATCTCCTGCCCACGTTTTGCTAAATTACTTAAGCACCAAGGAGAATGCTGGGAATGTATGTACACGCGCTCACCTTCCCCGTATAAAAGATTCGATGTAAGTAACCAAAATAAAGCGTCGACGAACGCGCGTGCGAGATGCCCTTTGTTTTGGGCATTTACTTTAGAACAGGTTCTGCTGCAGACAGCAGCACCTGCAGCGCGTGTAACTACACTCCCAGCATGTTCCTTGGTGCTTGGGTAATTTAGCGAAATTTCTATTGGGACCAGGGCATGACAGCGACCTTCCCTCGTTTTTCAGCCATTAGAACGTAAACCTTAGACTGTATAATTTCTTTGTTCACTTGGCAGTAAATAAACCGAAGAGCGATATATGCGTCTCAGCCATAGGACACCCGGATCCTTCATAGCACAGACTTATTAGTTCAATGACGGACCGAAAGCCTGCCTTCCATTAGATGTTGCGGAATGCCTTCACGGTAGCGGACATGAAAACGCATACACACAATCTAACACCATCACAAAGCACTTTCGACTTCTGGTGGGATTAGAACGCAATAATACACCCACGAAAAACGTGGTGAACACAGTAACGTTGCACTTTCGGAGCTACTTGATTGACCCGTCGGATCCCAGCAATGGCTACGCTCCGACGTACATAACGACTCGCACGTTGTTCCACGGAGTCGTTTGTTCCGCCATTGTGCAGTGGTTCCCACCTTCTAACGATCGGCACGCGAATTCGGAAAGGGGTCTATTTAATAAAACACCGAGCCTTTACGACCTGGCTAGTACTCGTTTGCCGCTAAGCCCGCTCGTCACCCAAAACACCCGAGTGAACGAAACCTAGCTACGAGACAACACGAAACGCGACTTCGGGGGCTTGTCCCCCGAAGTTGCTCGGATGCTCTGCTGCACACAGCGGCCATTGAAATCAGCGATGCGCCAAGCAGCCCGTCAATCAATCAGCTGCTCGGGACAAAACCATTCCGGATCACTGGGTAGCTTCTGCC